TACTCCCAGCAAGTGTTAGGACACACAAACTGGCTCCTATCAGCACTTAGCACTTTCTTCTTTGATGCTATTTTTTAACTTGCTTGGAGCAAAAGTTTCTTACAGCGCTACTTGCTGCCAAGCATTAATATAGTAATCAGTAATGCAAAGAAGTAAAAGAATTCCCTCCTCAAAATAAAAGGAGGATGAATTTACAGGTTATTAATTACTTCTTTTGTTCGACCACTTCAGGAAATAATTCAAAATGTAACCTTTATGTAAAGCATAAACCACAGTCACTGTCTAGGCTTGCAGAGGCATCACACACAGTTGCAAAATGAGCCTAGATATGCAGATAGCCAATAAAAAAATATAACCGCATTAAGTGTATTGTAACCATGATGGAAGTACAGTATGCCCTAGGTTTCTGAATTGTTTTTAAAACCTAGAACTTTTGGTCTAGATGCTCTAGCCACCTTCTTAATGCTCTGTGCTGCTGTGCATCAACTGTGTAGCCGCTCTCCCTCTTTTGTCTGGAAATGCAACGTTGCTAGTGGATTTTTTTGAACCTCTCCTATTTGCTCCTTTGTGGAGTCTCCCCTCTGCATAGGGAAGGTAGAGTAGAAATTAAATCACACCTACAAAATGAAGGCTTTGTTGAAGAGAGAAGTATTGCAATTTGCCCAAAGACGGTTAAGATTCTGAGTCAGCCTTATCACCATATTTAAATGCGGTGAACTTTCATATGCGTATTACATAACAAGAGGTCTAGCTTTACCACCAGCATGCCTTAAACCTGGATAAACTTTACTCAAATTGAAAACCCTCCAGCAGAATGTAGATCAGAAGGACTAAAGAATCTGATAGGTAATTAAACCAGAGGGCAAAGACGATTATCAAAAGGCAGCGCATTATACACTTACATCCTTTTACATGAGCTGCATCATCATCACAAACGAAAATTAAAGTATTCTCAGGACGTAAATACAGAGCCTGCTGGGCCTCTGCCATTAACAAACAAACAAACCCTTGACTAAAATAAAGCTGGATCTGATAAAGCTAACTCCTGAATGGTTATCTTGACTTAAATTTTCCAAATGCCATAAACGACATGCAAGTTTCTCATCACTTTTCTAAAAATTATGATTGCTTTCACTGAATAATGACTTTTTGAGCTACCTACAGCATATTTAGAAATCACATTTGAGATCAGAACAGCTCTGAGAGTACAGTTTTGCTCTTTAATAAGAGTCCAAAGGCCAGCTGCATACTTGGCTACCTAATTTTTGAGACAGGGGGCACCATTCTCTATTAAAAAGCCTTCAGTTATCAAGCATTTTCAGAGGGCTTATATCCAGGACTGGTTTCTGTGCCTAGTATTTCTTGTGTCTTCTGGCATGAAAACGAGAAGATTAATACATTTGAAATATCAATGTATTTCATATCAAAATTATGCCTAGATTAAGTATATTAACATTGAATATATCCCTTTTTATCTATGTGACCACTACTAATAATAGGTCATTCAATAAGTGATCTAACTGTGGGAGAATAAAAAGAACCAACACAAAGATAAAAGCCTAACAATATTAAATGTTGTATGCATCCCTCGTATTCTATGTCTCTTCCTTGCTTCCCTAGACCGTGTAATTTTTGGGTTTGCAATTGTATCAGATTAGCAGATCAAGCCCTTCATCTCTGAAGGACTGGTGAGCAGTAGTGGCAAATATAATCAATGAGGAGAGTCTTTTGGTGATGCTTATTGATGAAACGCAATTTTGATATCAAATATGAACATCCAGTGCAGAATGCAACACTGTGTGACTGAAATTCTGCAGTAAGAGTGGTTCTTTGGCCCCAGTTAAATGTCTACCTCCCTATTTGTAGTATATAGAGATATGGGAGACAGAACTTGAAATTACTACAGCTGAAGTCCTGCCTGCACTCTGATTTCAAGCATGTTAGAGAGTCTTCAGTTGTGCACTACCACAACTCCTACTCGTGCAACGAGCAGCACTCAATACAAGGTCAGGGCCAATACTTGGCTTTGATTCCTTACCTGAACAAACAAATATTCAAGACTGTAGGGTTGGGTTTTTTTAATACAATAAAGATGTATTTTCCCAGTTGGCACAAGCAAAAACAAACATTAGTCCTTAATTTGGTAGTAAGATTAAACAACACATTTAGGCTGGCGAGTACTCAGACAGAATACCCTGCCAGCTGCCTCTTTGTCTTTTACAGACAATTCTTCAACTCATCATGTGTTGTCTCAACTACAGAGCCCTAAGAGAACTACCTACTTCCAGGTAAAAAATCCTAGCCAAGACACTGTAGGTTAAACTTAACACCTAATGTCCTACCTAGGACTTAAAAAGCAGTACAAGCCAGCAGAGCTCTAGAAGTATCAGTTGCAAGAACATATTCTTCAACAAATGAGCTTCCATGTTCTGAACCAGCTTCACATTTGTGGTGTGTATCGTTGAAACATGGTGTACTCAGTCGCCCGCTATGGGTGAGAAAGGTCTGGATGTCAGCTGCAAGGTCTAGGAAAGCAATGAATGCAAGGTCCTAATTGTATAGAGATACACAAAGACACTTTGCTGGTTGTCGCTGTTTTCAGTTTTTGAAGCTGTTTTCAGCAGCAAGTAATCCCACAGGCCATATCTTTTGTTTTGACACTGTCCAATTACTATGGTAGTTACAGCCAAACTTTCTGACTACCTGTGCCATCAGGGCTTTAAAGCCCACTGTCATGGAGGAGCAAGGGTGGCCTGCTCCACAAGGGAAGGCAAGCCAGCAGCTGAGTGGCAATGCAGGTAGGGCAGTGACCTCACTGGTGGGGGTGCAGTCCCACAGTACCTGAACAAGAGCAGAGCAGGTCTGATGGTGGTAGCCAGGTTCACACAACAGTCCTGTGATCACTGGACAAGTCCATGGTGATGAGGGATATTCCAGGTCAAACCAGAAAGTCAAATCAGCAAGGCAAGGGCAGAACCAGCAAGGTGCCAGTCAGGCTGGACACAGGCATACCTGCAAAGTAGATAAGGCAAGGACCAAGGGCAAGGACCTGGGCTTAAATGCAGCTCTTGAGCCAAGGGGCAGAGGCCTCCCATGAGACTTTTCACAGCTCTCTCACACAGGTCTTTCCCCACCAGCTGGATCCAAGGTCACCCAGCTGCAGGCAGCCAAACCCCTTTGGGGGCCAGGAGGAGAGCCTGGTAGAGCATTCAGGGTGCAGCCAGCCATGTGGCTGTCAGGCACCTCTGCACCTGGGACACTAGGAAACACTGGAGCTTGTATACTCACCATCACTGAGCCCTGTCCTGAGCAACCTCAGCAAGTCTGAATGACCTACGTTCGGGAGCAGTCTTACCAGGTCATCAAAATGTATCTAAGAAGGCAGCCTCACCAGACTCACAAAACTTCGTGGTAACCCTATACTCTCAAGCGTTATATGCCTATGTGGCACAAACAAGCCAAGGTTTCTGCTTATTTACTGGGCTGACCATGCTTCTATATCACCAAAAGATACTCTCTAAGAAGGAGGTTCTGCAGAGGAATTCACAGAGGAATCTCCCATCAGCCTTCCTAGGGAAGGAGCATATCTAGCCTGCCTCCCAGCTTAGCTGACAAGAGGGAGTCAATGTTTAAACGTGAACAAGTAAACTTTTGATCTTCCCCAACACGTAATTAAAGACCACCTTTGCAAAATAATACCATGTGTTTGATTATCCTTATAACTTTGACCAGACAGCATGGCACAGAAAAATTTGTAGAGCTTTAGCACTGCTGTTCCCCTCCGCCTCAGCGCAGCGCTTGCTAAGGTAGCAAAGCAATTAAAACTGTAGTTTCCTGTTTTATAAAACAGGTATAATCTGTATGTTCTGATACTGACAGTGCCACAGCGTCATAAGATTAACTCAGTGTTTCAGTAGTCCAGATTCAGATTCCCAGTGTGATGGTGTCACAAATGAGCAAAGTAATGTAAGATGAAGGATACATAATAGATAAAAAGAGGAAAGTTGACAAATGTCTTCCTCTCGGTCACTCTTTCTCTCACAATGACCATGTCACAATTTCTGTTGAGTCCCAGCTGACTAAGTTATTGATGTTAATGAATGTTCTCTGAATCCCCTTCCAGAAGGGGAATAAATAAAGCTAATAAATAAATACACAATTTCAGTGAACATTTGATGAAAGGCATCTACCCAGCGCACAGGCTAGAGAAAACAGTAAGCAATATAGCCAAACAAGAAATAAGAATGCTTTTCTTCACAAACATAGGTTCCTTCACTTCAGATCCACGTCTGTTTTTCCTCTTTCCTGTACCCATTCAAAGTAACCCTGTAGTCCACATACCAGTTCCCATCAGACTGGAATCTTTAAGGTCATGTTCTTGTATATGATTTCCTTCTACAGTCCTTTATGGACTTTCAGTGAGACAGGAAAGTAGCACTTCTATGTTTCGACTTCATGCTTCTGCTTTCACTTTATGATTCCTGGTGGGAAAAAAAAATCTTTTGGCTTGGAAATAATAATAAGCAGCTTTTGCTTATGGTCTAACATTAGGAGGAAAAAAAAAAACCTCACAGAGAAGCTAACAATTCTTCAGTAGTCAGGGTAATTATTACCAACAATTCATAACATACCACAACTAGCACAGCAAAACTCCCACTCTAACTGTATTTAACTTTGTTTATTGAGGCCAACAGAAATCTTTTCTCATATCAAAGCCTGAAGGGGGAACTACCAACAATTTCTGGCACACAGTTACATTCTTTTCAAATACACTATTATACATCATGAGATTCCTGAAACTAGAGAACTTTCCATAAAACTCAGACCACATTATTCCAAAAGGTTGGGGGGGGGGGGGGGGTGGGGGAGAAAAAGAAAAAAAGAAAACCTTTCATGAGAGCAACTTCAGTCCATTACATTTCCAATGCTGAATTTGTGGGTGTTTTACCACCCTGAAACACAAATCAGAAACTGTGTTGTGTAAAAATTGTGTCTGTTCAAACTTTTAATAGAACTAGAAATCCTGTATTGCTGCCAATTTATTTGTTTAGCTGGACTGTTGCTATAGGCAGAGTGTGAAAGAATATATTTATTGGGTTACAAACAGAAAAATACATGCGAGGAAATTAAAGGATTGAGTTATGTATGTCTGACAATACTATTCACTTTGACATAATGTATACTAAATAGGAACTAAGTTCCACTGGCAGTCGACTCAAAAGAGTTACCTGCACAAGGTCTAAGAAACAATATTAACTGAACAATAATGGACTAAAACCAACAGAGTTTGAATCGGTAACCATTGTACCACAAAGATAAGTGCAAGTTGTACAATAGCTATAGTACTTCTGAAAATAGATTTCAAAATTAGAGCTAAATTTTCTCTTTGGAATATAAAAATAATGCTTTTTCCTCATGCTAAACACTTCTAAAGACATCTAATTTCAAGTGTACTTATGCATTATTCTAAAAATACACATATCTCCAAAGTAGTAATAAAGTCCGTGTGATGAATAATAGACCAGTGAAAATTAACACAGGAGATACCCGATTACCCTACCTGTACTCTGTCCATTTACTTAGGTCTCTTGAGACTACCTTATCAGTATGGAGTGAAATCACAGTGCCACTAATATCTGCAAAAGATGCACCAATGATGTCAACAGGGAAAAAATTTTACCCTGTGTGCTTCAAACAACTGCCATTTAGAAAAAAAAAAAAAAGAATGCAATCAAAATGTCTGTTAGTTTCCCCTTGATTTAGGATTTCCTTCAAAATTATACTGGCCAGAGGCTCACACCGACACCTTCACTTCAGGCTAAAGACAGATGTAAGGTCTGGCATAAACTTTAAATGTGTCATAAATGATTCACTACATATGGAGAAGAATTCTAGGTATTCCAGAAGGGGACTATGCATTTGACTCAGCTCTGAAAGGCCCCCAAATAATAGGACATTAAAGCTGTAGCAGTTTTGTACATAGAAACTAATTTTATAACTTTCTGGAATGTTTTAGCTACCCTTTTCTTATTCTCTGAGACTGAGGAACTATGAAAGTAAGCCACATGACAGAAAAGTAACATTTTTTAACCGTGATATGATTGTAAACACTTTAGAAGTACCCTTTTTTGTCCGAGACTGGGCACTTTCAGCCTCATAGAGCATAAAGGTTTAACAGAACAGACATAATAGTTTTCACAACAGAACCAGATGAATTAATTAAATTTTTGCAGCTGCCTTCAACACCTAGGACTGGCCTCTACTTTTTAGACATAATTTTTTAATGATCATTTTTCATAATTGTGTCAACAAGGGTTTTGTAAAGTGCTCCGAACAATACTATCTGGAACCTAAATTATATAATTGTTTCACAACATTCCATAATTTGTTTGTCTAAGCTATAGGCTAGAAAAAAAAGTATACAAAATAAAATGGAACTGAAAATGAGGCATGATAAATTTCTGATTAGAGCCTTCCCACCACCATTTTTGAAATATTGATGAAGTTTTTATGATCTTCAGCATACAGCATTTCATAAAAACGTATCTTGTTCTCTTATCCATTTTCATCCACTTCCAGCAATGAGTAGGGTCACCTGGGTGATCTAAAAGACAAAGAGTTGTGAGGAGCCAAATAAGACACATGAACATCAACACTGAAACAATTTTAGCTGTTACGGCCTGTTGCAGGATAAGATTTTGTGATCTGTGTGACGCAGGTGATTAAACGACCATAATGACGCGTTATGGGTTTAGTGACATATGTATTAATTATCCAGATCAGCACTTAACGTTTTGAACCTTAAGTTCTGCAAGTCTTAATGCAAGCATTAAGTTTTATAGCGTCTGCTACTCTCTGTTAGTATGGATCATGAGATAGTTTTCAGATATAAATTTAATTTTCAAATGCTTCTAAAAATAAATAATTCTGGCAGTAATACAATAAGAAGCTTAAGACTGAGATACAGTTTCTGTATCAGTAAAATCTAGAATGATGATTATGAGAACTACACTAACAACATACCAATCAATAGTATTCAAAACAAAAAAGAAAAATAATCCAAAAGAGTGGATTTTCCAACATGATAAACATTAAGGCCACAGTTCTCTGTGTAAATACAAAGCTTTGTCCACGTGCAACACCACTGACTTCACTGTTTGGAATAGTCATCATCCTCAATAACTAAACATGCTCTTACAAAAATCTGCAAACTGTATCAGATTTCAAAACTTGCTGTTAACATTTTGCCTCTATCTTTGGATATCCTCTTTTTCTGCTGCTCAATCTTTTTTGAGAGCAGGAACAGGACATCAGGATTTCATTTTTCTTTCATCATATACATCCCATATGAGAAGAAGAGAGGTTATTATATAACTTCATGTACTGAAAATGTTGAAGTACAAAACTAAAAATACTGTGATTCCAAAGCACATAAACAGGCGAAACCCCATCAGTTCCATAAACACCCACTTGAGCCAATGCAATTCAAAGATTGCTAGAAACCTAAGAAAAGCATGAAATTGTTGAAAATTACATAGATGGAGACAATTTTCAATTAGGTTGAGATGCAGATCAGTGAAGAGATAAACACGGTTCTAAGTGTGTCACCCACTTTCTATGATGTGACATAAGTGCTGCTGACACTTTTTTCCTCTGGTACAATTTTCACACTTCATGATTTAAAATAGGACTTCTACATAACTGCCTAATTTTTTTTTGCCTGAAGACAGTAATTAAGTAAAGTACCTCTGATTATCTTTAACTGCATTGGTATGCAAATGGAAGACATAAGAAAGTTGTTGTAATCTCTAAAACAGTTTCTTAAAAAACACAAGTGTGTGACTTGAAGAGGGGCTTTTGTGGTACCGATTTACCAATATATGATCCTATGGTGCTGTTAAAAATTGCACGTGCTCTGTTATTTCACATTTCTTCAGTATTATTTATATTAACTCTATTTTAAATGTATTAATTTTATAATTAAATACATACATCACTGAAATTGAATCACAAAGTGAAATACATAATTTTTAAAGAAATAATTCTGAAGATAAGTGTTTAAATTAGAATTCTGGACAGGAAAAATACTTAGTTCTCATAAGTATATTTATTACAGAAGTAAAGCATGACAGATTCCTTCTCTCCTCAGTAGTGACGTGGTTCACTCTGCACAGTCAGCTGAGATAGATAGAAAAAGTTACTTAACTAGAAGTGCCAAAAGTAATAGCAATTTTTGGCTCTTGTACGAAAGCGCTGCATTTTACAGAAAGGTAATTTTGTTTCACTGGTAGATGATGTTTACATCAGTGATGTCATGTTTCAAACTTTTCAACAGGTTTCAGTAACAATGGTGTAACCCTTAAGATAAAGATATAATCCACAATTAAGACACAAACCACAATTCAGCATGGTGAGCAAACTCTTGTAATACACACAACTATAATGAAAATATGCAAAACTTACAGTTTAAGTCTTAAAACTTACAGTCAGGAATATCTAATGATGTTGTAAAAACACTTCAGGCTTTTCAGCGTCAAACAGACAAAACAATGTAGCTATACTGGGATGCTACTGTGCTTCAGCTGGTACCTTTAAGTTAAGTTTTAGTGATTCCGGCCTCATAGCAAGCTTAGACCTAACGTGACAAGTGATTAACAAGCTGAATAGCCTCAGCTTTGAGTGATTTCCTCTGCAGTTGCATGGTTCAGTTACTCTGTAAGTTCTTAAAAAGAGGCTGTCATAGACAAAAATTATCTCAATGGTAACTATCCCATCATCTCAGTTTGCTACCTGTACACATGTATTCTTTACCGAGGAGGAAGGTGGAATCTTCTCCTCCGGTCTGGATGGCCCAATCCATATGCTCTACCTGGAGGAATCAAATATTTTTAACTACCGTTAAAGCAGGAAAGCAAGACCTTATTCAGATAACCTGCAAGAAAAATTACATTTATACATATTTTGAAAAAAGAACGTCTCTCTCCAGTTGGTGTATAATTATAGCTAGTATTTTGAGATGTTGGAGGATACAATCCATGGTGGCATGGCTCTTCTTAAAGCTTTTGGGCCACTGTAACTTTTAAATCTAGTCCAATTAATGGTTTGGGACAGTGAATCATACAGGTCATACACTGTGGTTGGTAGATCAGACCGTGTGAATTCAGGAAAGGAAAATACACTGTTTAGAACCAGACATAAGCTATATTAACAAACATTTTCATACTGGTTTAAGTGTGCCTGTGTACAATACTGCTTTAGTTATAGATTCCTATAAGCAAAGTGGTACTGTAAATGAAATCTTTTTTTCAACACCAAAGCTCTACCAAGTCCCACCTACATTACAGTTCTATCAAAATCCTATTAATCAAAACATGTTTGAACACAGTACGCAACACAAGTGTGGAAGCCTTGATTAAACACCTAGCAAATGAAAACTTGCTACAAACTCAGATCCTTCAGTATAGTTGTATTATGTTCAGCTACATGGTTTACAGTGTGCTAAGACTGAAGTGAATGTAATTGCATCACATTGACAATGTGATGCAATTACATTCCATGAAGAAATGGGACTCTGGATAATTCCCTTTTGTCTTGGACAAAAGAGTTTCTCTTGAGTGAGACATACCTCCAACAATTCTATTTTTTCCATATCTTTCCTTGACACTCATCTTTCCTCTCCCCTGAAAAACTTTCCATTTTCCATAAAAGCTTTTCTCCAAGACCTTGTTTTTAAAGAAAAATAATAAGTGATATTTTCTAAGTTTAATTCTTTAAAAAACAAAAGCCATTTTCGTTTTTCTCTTCTTTTCCAATAGAGAGATGGAAGAAAAGCAAGGCAAAAATGGATGTCAACAAAGAAAGCAAAACTATTTTTTTGGAGAGAACATAATTTTCTTAGGCAGAATATAGTTGACCCCCAAATCCAACAACTTCTAAATGCAAGTATGAAATTGTCAAAACGCTTCAGTATTTCCCCATCTCACTGTTTATGATTCTGGTGATAGATGACTGGTAGCTGAAATTATCATCCATTACTCCTAGCTCTCTGGCAGCTCTTACTCATTATATCTTCATCCCTCCCCTGGGTCCATCATACAGAGAGTTCTGATGTTTACTTTATCACTGGCTGAAATTCTATATCCTTGCCAATACCCTTCACTATTTCTGATGTATTAGGGTGTCCTTGATTTCAACCATTCATGTAGCTATTACAACCAGTCCTATAGACACTCTCTCCCCTATCTCCTTCCCTTATCTTCAGCTCACTTTTCAGAAGGTTTTCAAATACTAGTATGAGAACCATTGTCCAAATCACTGACATTTTAAAATATGGCTATAAAAGTATATAAGACAATGCATAGATAAGGTTAGACTTACTTTTTTATTTTCTTTTTTTGCTATCTTTTGTATGTTGATTTAGATCTAGGCGGTAATTTGTATGCTATGACAAACAATCTCAGTGTTTATCAGTTGGACTGCTGAAGAGAGTGACAAAGACATATGATACTCAATAGTGATTTCCATAGTTCTTAGTGCTCAGTTTATTTTTAGCTATTTGTAGAATGAAGTAACAATGCAATTCAAAACAATGTATTAGTGGTCTTAACTGCTAATTAATGAAGTTTTGTCTACCAATAGCCTATATGGCATGTGGTGTGGTGTTTCAGCCATGAACCTAGAATCCGTAAAGTCATGCGTTTAACATGCATCAGAATGGAAAAACACTCGGAATGGGATACACAAAAGTCAGCGTGCTAAATAGGAAGTCTTCTAAATTAACAAACAAGAAACACTAAGGGAAAATCTACCTCCCTGTGAGGCTTAGATGTCCTGCTCTGAGTTACATGGATGCACTCTCCATTTGTGACACACAGCCAAGAAATTTATGAAAAGAACTTCAAATAAATAAATAAAAACAAACCAAGACAAAAAATACCCAACCCCCCAAAAAACCCCAAAACAGCACAGCTGAATTCCCTTCTCTCAAAATACAGCTAGAGGATGAGATGTTAATTACAACAGATCAGTGGTTAGTATTCACCATAAAATGAGGGATGTCTAAGTTGAATCCTTGTTCTGCCTGAGGGGATTCAAACCATCATCTCAGAGAAATACCAGTGCTTCTTAGGTTTATGCTTTCTGGGTGGTGGGGGAGGCCCTCTTTCCTCCACTGTTGAAGCTGAGACATTGTCATGGAATTCTTAAACATTAACTGATAAGAGAGAGCAAAGGCTGCCTAATCATTAGGTACACTCCTGACACAGAAGATATGGGTCCCATGGTCACCGTTCCATTACTTTTTAATGTATTTAATCCAATGATTTATATATAATATGCAACAGCGGGAACCATAACAGTATACCACGGGAAGGTATATAAAGGATGGGATAGATAGATATCAGTAATATTACCAGAAAGTTTTATCATGTAAGCTATCATGGAACACAAAATCGCTACTTTTTTGTTCTTCTTTTTTCTCTGTCTTTGGTGAGACACACACATATAGCAGAGACAACAGCTACATAATGAAGCAACCCAAATACCTGTCTTAATATTAGCAAACTCTGGAAAAAGAAACTTTGTCAAAATGAATTATCTTGGCAGATCAGTTTAAAAGGAGCTCTAAAACATTGCAGGGCTCTTTTGTAAGGACAGATACATTTTTCCAATAAATCTATTTTACTTAGAGGCAATTTAACTGCACTTATGGGATCATGTTTTGAAGAGTGTCCTGAAGGTAGTAAATAAGACTAGTGTAGAAGAAGCCAAGATGTTTTAATAATGCTACTGAAACACATTTATAACACCGTTCAGCACACTGTGGAACTATGTTCCACTGTGGAACATACTTTGTGGAATACATCTAGTCGTAAGATCTCTGGAGCTGGTCAGAGACGACCTGACCCCTGAATAGCAGGCTTCTTGAGATGGTCACAGTAACAATGACCAGTTTTGGTTCTGCTCACGGTCAGCATACACACTCTACATTTTAACTTTACATTTTACATACGCGATCAATCTCATCTGTGATTCAAATGATAGTATCTCCCTCTCAAGCATACAACAGTGGCAGCTGAAACACATTAAAGACTTTACTGTATTTATTTATTATTTATCCTCTCTAATCACATCATCAATCTTCTTTGAAAACCTCACCTGGAAACATAGAAGAAATTTGGGCTCTGCAGACTTAATAAAATAATTGATCTTTCTTAGACACTTCTTTTGCTTATTTTCTTTAATCTATGTGTATATGCTTTAATGCATAATAATGAGGAAGTAAAACTGAATTATGTCAGCTCAACAGTGTTATCCACAGTGATGCTTCATTTAAATGTCTGTTCAGTTCAAGAAATGAGATTGGCGAATGACTTAAGATTAATGCCAAGACAAAATAGAACTTGCATTTGTATTACTTAGGCAATGATCTGGAAGCTGAGCTCCTGATCTAGAAAACCACTTAAGAATGTGTTTAACTTTATTCATACGCTTAAGTGTTTTGTTGAAGTATGAACTAAGATCTGCAGCTAAAGACTTCAGACAGACATTTCTGTGCAGCTGTGCCAATTTGTTTTAGAACTATTACAATTTTAAACACAGTTCAGCTGAGACCAATCATGGAAAGTTTAAATACCACATGAAAGCTTTTACCCCAGAACATTGTGAGTAAAAGATGACTCCAGATTACAACGCTACACTCTTTGCAGGGTTAGTTTTTGCTAACAGTAGTACACAACTATAACTGATACAAGTTTTGCTATTGACTGCTGTAGCCACAGGGTAACTGCATACATACAAATGCAAACTGCATATAGACACAGAGCTGTTATACTGTTGATAGAGACAATTCCAAATACACACGTGTGCACATATTTTTTACCTTGTGGTTGAGGATTTCTCCATAGGAACCCCCTCATCTGGTTATGATATGGAGGAACAAAAGAACTTCTGTGTGTTTGTTGGAACCTGGGATTAAATTCTCTTTGTTGTGTTCCTGAAAAACAGTATTTACTAAGCAACTCTGACTGTATCTAAGATTAAATGAAGAAAAAGAGAGACAGCGTATTCTTTTTCGGGAAACAACATTTCTTAGTTTTATGCCAAAATACTTACGCACAATTACGATTTTTCCAAACTAAAGTCAGCCTAATAAGCATGGTTCTTGTTCTCATTTCCATCTATGCACATCATGATTACAAGCTGTTAACAAGTGTATTTAGAAACCAGATCAAAATTTTATGACACAGATTTGGAGACTGCAGTCATTAAAACAAACAGAAATCTCTGTCCAAATTGGAATCACAAATCATAATTAAAATGGTTAAGTACAGCTCTCAAGCAATAGCAGATGCTAACAAGGTCTGGTATCATAAATCACCAACAGATACCCTTAGTTTTGAATGTCCAGCACCAGTATGGTGTAGTACCACATCAGAAGTATTGCTGTCACATAACGCAAAGTAATGAACTAGCAGAAAATCATTCTGTCTGTTGTAATTTGCTCAAGGGATTTTGAAGGGGTAATTTTTATCCTCACAGACATTATAATTGATCAGGTATTAAGCAGGTAATAAACGTAATACCAGCATAAACACTGAGATTCAGTGTGAATTATTTCAAAGCCTCAAAAGCCTAAACATTCAGGCTGATCTGTGAATGATGCTAAAAACCTTTTAGATGTTTTTTTCCCTGAGAGTCAGGCAGATCAGGTGGGGAAAACAAACGTCTTTAGTAAACCGAGCCATAAAGTTGGGGGGAAAAAAAGCAAGGTCTTAGGCAAAAAAAAGCCATTCTCCAGGTTGCCCAAAAGCTTTCTTATATTTTGAACTGTATCAGTCAGTCCAGTAAGGAGTATTCTCTCTTCAATGCCTCACTCAGACCTTCAACTATCATCGTTAAAATAGCTCCCCTGAGGGAAAGGAAGAAAAAACTCTGAGTCATCTAATTCCTCCTATAAAAATAACTTTAGTCACTGAGTAAATCGCAGGGATGTTTCTGTCAGTGAATGATATTTTATCTACTGCATATATCTCACTAACTATGTAGATAGATTGAAATATTCTATCCAAACCTGGGTAATCAAATTCACATGAATTCCTAAAAAGAGGAAATATTTTCTTAGATCTCTCCTTTGGTTTATTGGAGAAAGACCTTACAATTTACTTAGCTTGATGGGCTGCCTATGTAAATGCTGCTGCCGTTGGAGGATAATTGAGCTCATCCATATATTGACTTTATTGAGAAAATTAACACAATGCCAACCTGTGATAAATCCATTCCCTCTTGGTCTGCTCTGTATTGTTCTCTTCTTTGCTGTGCAAGCCTTGCAAATGAAAGACTTCAGATTCTGGAAGGGTGTATACAAAGACTCCTGCAGACAACAGGGTTAAAAATCAATGACTGTTCTGCTTTTCTCTCTTCAGGTGTAGCACAAATCAATCACATTTAACAACTAAAAGACTTGTCTTAGCCACACTCATGCATATATGAAGGTGGTGGATCTGGTTCGCATTTTTTCAGGAAACAAAGTTCAAACATTTCATATTAAAAGTGGATCCTTGGAGGGATGAGTAGGGGTGCAGAAGGAATGTTTTCCCCTTTCTCAGTGAAGTTTGTTTTTCTTCTCTGCTCACATCTGTAAATCGCTTGCTTTCCTATTCTATTACTTTGCCCCTGTAGATACACTTAACTAGACTTCTATCAGCAATACCTCAGGCAGAGATGGTTAAAGCTTCCAGATAAGGACTGATGAACTCAGGGAAAACGCACCAGTGAAAATCGAGGTGTCTTAATCTCATACATTAGAAACAAAACTTAACACGATAGTAATACATCAGCCCCAACTCTTGACAGATAAAATATAACCAAGTCTAAAGAGAAATGGGGGAATTAAATAAAAATGTTTACCTTGTGGTGTGATGAAAACTTCTACTGTCAAAAGGACAAGCTGAAGCTATTTAAAGATGCAATACGAAGAGATGTGATATATCCTTAACTTCCACTGATTTCAGTGAGCTTTGAACAAGTGTCAGATCATAGAATCTTTTTCTTTCTTATTGATTTGTACTGAGCATGTGGGCAGTAGTACACATTGAAAAGAATTATGAAAAGACAGATCTTACAGCAATAGCATAATTTGTGATTTTCATAAAACTGAACTGATTTTTACAGGATGACAATTCCTTTTTGAAACAACCAGGGCAGAGGGGGAGCAGGAAGGAGGGGAGAGGATTACAGGATAAGGTAAAAATCCAATAGGTGGCAAGACGGCAGCAACTAGAGAGGTTTCTTAAATTAGAGGTAGAGTCTGAATCCCTGAACTTTCCTAGCACATTTTTTGAGTTAACAAACCTCTTTATAGAGCCTTAAGCAAAACCCACAGATTTTTTTTTTCCACACAAACTGAGTACAGTCTGTAAAGAACACCCACTAACGGGAAAAACCTTTCATTTTATTCTTGGGAGAATAAATTCAGAATGTATTGATGAAGGTTGGATGAAAGGCATGATCAGAAAAGGACAAAACATACCACTTATGCTGACCCCGTTAGGTAATTTGGTTTTAATATAAAAAAATTGATCATGAACATACTCATTAGTGAGAAGCACAATAAAAAGGCTAATAAAGTGATAATATCATTGCCTCACTGCTTTATGAGACTATTATATCCAATTTTCTGTGTGGATAAACAAACTAATATGATTACTGTTACGAAAAACAGAGAACTAGCATAATATGAGCTTAGCATATTTTTTTTAAAAAGCAAGATGGCTCTATTTTTCATTCTTATCAGAAGCTTTCCATTTTTTATCTTTAACAGCTCCTAGGCTACAAAGAGCTGAGCTACACAACTGCATTTAATTTATACATTTTCTTCTTTCGGTACAAGAATCTGTGGGAAGCAAACCCTAAAATGTTCAAAATTTCTGGTATACATGTAAATATTTAACCAAGATTGTATTTCTACTGTAATTTTCATAAAGCTATTAACTATATTTAAGCCCATCATAATCAAAACAACACTGATGCTGAGATCTCCTGAACTCCCTGAAGTAATGTAACTGTCCAGATCATAGAGAAGGGACCTTAGGAGTTAGGAGACAAGCACCGAACACCAAAAGGCGTAACTTTTTCCTATTACTTATCTTTTCTATAACAAAACATCCCATGTAGAATAACTTTTTTCTGAATACAATGCTGTCGCTATCATCAGATTAGATTTATGGTGCTCAAGGGTAGATTGTTAACAAACAAGTGCTGAAAGTTCTTGGCTTCCAGCGGTACATTAAGCTCTGCCAGGAACTAAGTACCAGTTTTATTTATTAAAGTTGAACTTATAATAATAGGAAAAACCAATCACATACACTTGTTGCCTTGCCAGTGTCCCCAGCTAAACTGGCATCTCTTGGCAATTCTCCCAAAAACAGATTCTTGCCTCAAACTGATAAGCTGGAAAGCTATTTTATTAGCTGGGAGCTATCTCTGCCATATATGTATGATAAAATCATACCTAAAAAAGAAAAAGATATTTAAACTACTCTAAAAATTCACAGGGCTAGACTATTTTTCCTCACAAAAGAACAGTTTATCTGGGGTTTGTTTAAACTAGAGTATCAGGCTTTTAAAAACCCTAACCTAGATTTTTTAGTTGATCAAGCAAATTTCCATCTCTGTTCTAGGGATCTAAGCATCTTCCTTCATCTTTCTTCTAAGACAGGTTAAAATATAACTTTAACCTGACCACATCAAGATTTTCAAATGTTAGCTAAGACATACTACCTAACACATTTAAAAATACCTCTCAGCCAATATAAATTTTGTACAGATTTAGACACGTATTGTAAAAGTTATTCACTAACCTGAATTCTATCCACACGGAACAGAAGTATCGATTTCACATAGAAATGTGAATGTATAGTTTTACATTTTCCCATTTATTCTTTAGACCCTCTGTTGTTCTGCAAAAGTCCTACATGAAAAACTGGATGAACCACTGGCCCAGTCCAAAATCTACTGAAATCAATGGACCAATTAATGGGAACCACAGGATTTGGATAGAGGCTATAGTCCTAATCATATGATTGATTCCATATGAAAAGGATTATCCTCCTCCTCCATGCTGAAAACACATACATTCCACCCACCCACACGCATTCCACTCATCACTCCAGATCAGGATGGTATGTAATTGGACACAAAATTAGAAAAGAAAACTAATTATACAACAACGGGTATTGAATGCATGAGATTAAAATCATTCAAAACGGAAAACTTTTTTCTCTGTAATCACTTTTATTTATTTTAACCTCAAGTGATATATGTAACAACAGGTAAAAACATTTCAAAGGTAAAATTTTCAAAAGTAATTAAATGATACGGGGTTTTCGGTTCCACATTGGAAAGAGACACATTAATCAAAGGTCTTAAGAGCTATCTACACAGATGAGTACAGATCTACCCAAGTATCTCTCCACATATTCTGTGCTGGTGGGGCACGAGTCAGGTCTGGTCCGAGGCTTTGCTAGTGCATTAATACAGCCTTGCACCCAGTCTAGCAGACCCTACCTCTGAGGCTGGACACGATGCCACCTAATGCACCAGATATGGCCCATACCCAGCAAGACTTTGCGGGTATCTCCCTGTCCTTGCCTGGGCAGACTTGTTTTAAGTCATACTGTTTTTTTAGTAACATAGCGTGCAAATTGTACAGATCCCCAGCTTCTGAAAAGTGGGATTGAGAACTAAGTGAGTACTTAGAGGTACAGGAAAGTACTTGGTGAGATTCTAAAAAAATACCTAGATGTATACCTTCCTCTGATTTCCAGTTCCTCTTTGAATTCACCAAACCTTCATCTCAAACTTTAGGTTCCTTAATACCTTTAAAAATATCACTCTCAAACACTTCAAAAATTATACCCAGTATGCTTATTTAAAGACATTCTTAATATGTTGCCTAAAATCTTACAGGAAAAGGATCTCATTAATATCTTAGTACTAGAAAACCATTACAGACATTTTCAGTTTTTGAAATTGACAATGATTTTGACACTTCCTTATATTATTTTCTGAGTAATGGAAACAAAAATAAAGGTAAAATTACAGCTTCCTTCATAGGCTCAGTATTTCTACCTTCTTAGTTTTTTTTTGGCGGAGAGGATGAAAAAGGAATAAGGAAGAGAGGAAAAACACAAAGAAAGGGGACAAGTGTAAACATGAATATTAAAACAACAAACAAACATGGACAGGTACATTTTTCAAAGAATACAGAACTGTCTAAGAGGATGCGATTACTCACATTGCCTTCTAAAAGCTCTTCCAAAGAGCAACCTTGGTGCGACTGCTGGTATTTTTCTTGAAAAAGTTTCCCATCAAACACTTCCCAAGGCATCAAATCATCCATTCTGAATGGAAAGCCACAGGCACTATTGGCCATGAGCAAAGTTGTAATGCCACGAACAAAGACAGCGCCAAGATGTACGGCTCTGGAGTCCACTTGCGCAAGCTGTTAACACACACACACAAAAAACCACAAAGGTAGGCCTCACAAATCAGGAAATATAAGCAGTCTTACCACCACATATAACCATACGAACAGCAGAGCAAATGGTAAACAGTCTCAAAGTTGTGACAATGATGGTCCTCTGCTGCACAGTAGAATTCATCGAAGGATTCTGTATCTAGTTTTATTCAATAAAGTGAAAGAAGTGAAGTTTGTTTTAACAAATACAGCATCTCACTCAAGTTTTTAAGACACACACATTCAGAATGAAAATGGAAAGACAAAATAAATGGCTATTCTCCATAGTATTTCTCAAGCATTAGCAGTTCCCCAGAAAGAATTCTGTTAGTGGAATGCAAAACATGAACTGGGAGTATAAAATGATGGGTACAGTGATCCATTGACCTTCCACAGTTTGATCAACCGGGAAATGTTACAGCACTTAGAGATCATTTAAATTATAAGATTTGTCAGAACAAAGTTTATTGTGCCCAGGCTTTTATTTTAAACGCTCTATAAATTTCCTCTGACTGTAGTCTGAAAGTCAAATTATTTCACTTCAACATGGATGTCTCCAGAAGAAATACTGGAACAATATGACAACGTCCAGAAAATGCAAAATGAGAAACTCAACAAGGCAATTAAAACTCACAGCCAAATTAAACTTGATGGGTGAATTGAACATCCTGCTGTGGCAGAGCATAGCAAACTATAAAAGCCTTGAATCCAATATGGGGAAAACTGTGATTTTAAGTATTGTGTAAACAGTATGAAGCTCCTTAGTGGGGAATGCCTTTTCCACAGTCTGTACCGAAGCAGTCTGTCAGGACCAGGAGGGATTCGTAACAGTGTGGCCATCAATACTGTAATCCGTGGCAGCTGTTGTACCCTTACATTACAGTTTTCCTTATAGTATAAGTATCCAAAATAGTCCAGAACAGAAAGGACAACAATGTGGCTCAAATTTGTCTTAGCCCTAGCTCCGGAAGAGCTGTGAATTGTTTGTTTGAAATGCAATGGAAAGGGTTGGCCCATTATTGCTAACAATAACAACATCTTACATCTTGAAAGATCCCCAAAAGACTTAAAGGTATGCACATACACCATCAGTGCCCTATTTAAAAAAGATGACAATTAATAGCAGACAGCATGAGATGTTGTATTAATGGATCGGAACTTTTTCCTCCCTAAGGTCCACATAACAAAAGCAGGAAACCTTTCCTAGCAGCACAGAGCTACAAAGCTTCTTGCAAGAGAGACAAACACAGTAAATCATTTGGAGAATACAGCTAGAACTTGGTCAAGGACTTGGGTTTTCTGCATTATTATGCAATGAGCTAAAGTCTGTTGCATCATTTGACTACATGAAACTGGCTTCGATGATAGGGTTCCCCCTAACCACAGACAAGGGGCAGTAGGGTTCTGTTAAGCCGACTTGAAGATATGAGGTGTACCTCCACTGGCTGGTTTTTCTACAGTGCAAAAGCAAAAGAGGACCTAGAGATGATGATGCAGGCAAAAGATACCAGGCAGGGTGGTCCAGAGCCCTCTGGCAAGAACTTCTTCTGCCTCTAGTGATTCCTGGAAAGGCATGAAGCTGGCCACCAGGGCACTGACCCAACATGACACTCAGTACTTGAAATTCACCCAATACAGACAACTGAAGACAACCACTGACAACCAGGCAAATGCAGACAACACAAGCTAATTTGAGCAGTCATTTAGAACATGAAAGGCCCATCCTTTTCTGACTGTGACACTTCATACTTGAGTAAGGGAGACCACCTGCTCCCCTCCCTTTCAAATAAAAGTAGTTTCAGTATGGGATCAGGCTATTGAGTTTCAGGAAGTTATTGCCTCCAGATGTAAGCTATCATTTTGCCAGCTGAGTCTAGTAACTACATGCACACTCATAACTCTCTTGCTCTGGCAAGTAAAGCAGGGTTTTGCAAACCATTTAACAATGCTGAAAGGTACCTGAAAGAGGAATGTGGTTTAAGTGAACCAGCATTACTTCTACTTAAAGTAGACTGTAAGAGTGCACACAGCCAGTTATCATGTTGCAGCTGGGAGATTCTTATATTGCACTAACCAGATTGTTTCTGATCACCTGATCAAATCTTAAGACCTGCTAAGGAAATGAGTCCACATCATTACAAGCTTTAAAATGGAATCTGCTTGGTTTGTGATCACAAAGTAAGACTTTAGGAGCGGGGAGTAAGAACTGCTGGGAATCCTCAGAACTCCCTGTTTTTGGCAAACTAATCCAGCTGCGGAATTCCTTCAGAATTTATGCACCCTGGTCTTGTTCTCAACACAACAATAAATTGAACTTTAAATAACTTCAATAAAATACTTTAGAGCACTTTGACAAGCGCCAAAGTTTTGCTCTTAAGCTATAAGGAAAATGGACATGTCAAACTACAACTAGCAGTAGAGGCCAAGAGTGACAGTAGCACACCAACCAGCGGAATCAAACTTGGCCAAATTTATACCAATATGATTTATACCACCAATAGTCTCTTTATTATAGATCAGTACAAAACCAGACTGAAATTCCCTGTCGTACAAATCAGTATCTTCTGTCACTGAATTATAAGTACTGATAATGTCAAAAGATTTAATTGCTGAAAACAAACTTTCATGAAGAATAACGAAAACAAGTATTTAAGCTGCTGAAAAGAGTAAATGCTGTCATCTGCAGCAAGCGATTTCCCATCTTTGAATTTAACGGCTGTGTACTATATGACTATTAATTCATACCTTGTTGTCATTTATTGACAAAGATGCTTTTACTGTCCTTTTAAATCCCACTAGTACCAAGGATGTAAAACAGCTGTTAGAACAGATTACTAATACTATATGTGGATGTTGGATGCCATCTGGGCTATAAATTTTAAAATAAAGCTTTTGTTGCTTTATTTTATTCTGAAAACTCTAAGCATAGACCCAACACAAATATGTGATTAATCCAACTTTCTTCAGTGACGTTACTCAAGGTAGTGCAAAACAAATGCATACGTATTTGCAGAACAAGTGTCTAAACGAGAATTTGAAAAATTTTGCTTTTGATGGCGACGCACAAAATAATAAAATATGGAAGAGGACTGAGTGCTGTCTCATGCTGGAGATCAGTGTAGTACTGTCATTGATGCTAATTGTTACTTCTGCCTAAGTGAGTATGAAGTCTGAGCCAGCAATACAACCCTAGCTGTGCTCTTTTCAACTACAGTTGAGACATACTGGTTAAAAAGATAAAATAATGTTGCTGGTGACAGGTTGTACAGGTAGAAGACTCCACTGTCTAGGGATATCAATCCAGAACTTTCCTAAAGCACTAAAGTATCGGGGAGGGGGTGGATATCAGGTAAGGCTTGTTTTTTTAATGGAAATCAATATTGGCAAGACCAAGGCAAGAACTATCAACAGTGATTTCTTTATTTTAATAAGACAGGAAATACATTCACTAAAGGGTAGTTTCTATTTTCCATGTCTGGCAATGAAAAACAAAGAAAATGAAAGCACAGTGGGTCTATAACAATGAGCTTGTGCACACGGCAAACCACAGACTTGCTTTGCCATGGGAATGCTCACAACTGCTTGGTGTCTGCAATGCAAAGACGTCACGATGAGGAGAAGTGGAAAATTCCAAAAGAAAAGAAGGCTTGCCTTCCAGGGCATTACACCCTAGAGATTACTTCTTATTGGAAATCGTGTCTGTTCTTTTCACTATTTTTATAAACTCAGGACCCCAGTGAATCATGTGAGATACACCCCTGTGATCCCGCTGCTGCTACTCCTACCACCAGCTGATGACATTTGTGTGAGAGAGACAGGGAGTGCGTGAGAACTGCTCCTCCTGCACCAGCTGCCTGTGCTGTGCCCCTGCTGCTGCTCCTACCAACAGCAGCTCCCCACCCTCTCACCGTTTGGGGAAAAAGATTACTTTTCCTATTTGCCAACATTAACTGAAGACTGAGGAGAGAACTCAAAGTTCACAGTCCTCTAGTATCATTGGAGCAGAGGTTATTGATAGCATGCTTAGAAGGCTGGAGCTGAACTGGGTGAGCCCACTTGAAAAGAGCAAGAGAAGTGCTACAGCACCCATATCGCTAATGTATAATGGTTTTTTCTAACAATTTGAGAAATGTCTTTGCTAGGAGAGCCATCATCATAGACTTATCTCATATCATGCCTTTTTCTGCTCTAGAAACACATGGCTTTAGCCTGTGGACCACAAGTTCAGGCTGGTCTCTGTGCTTGTGTGCATCCTCATTGACCAGCAGAAAGAGGCTTTGCAAGAAGAAAAGTGTTTGCTCACAGGAGCAGTTTGCAA